CACATCTCTGTCCCTCATGTCCCCCAGCGTGGACGTTGGAAAGTCACCGCACGTCCCCTATGTCTATGTCAGCCATCGCGGGGAGGTGCAGAACCTCAAACCCATCCAGGTGATGACTGCCTGCAGCCTGGACATCTACAACTTCCCCTTCGACGTCCAGAACTGCTCGCTCACCTTCACCAGCTGGCTGCACCACAGTGAGTGCGGGGTTCCGTGCCGGAGGGGCTCGGGGAGCGGCMGGAGCTGTGCCGGCCCGGAGCTCCGTGCAGAAGGGGATTTGTCCCTCTAGATGGCCCCAGCGGATCGGGGAAGCGCGCAGGAGGGCACCCGCAGCCCGGCTGGAGGTGCCGGCCCTTGCCTCCTGTTTCTCACCTCTCCTTTGCCCCCGCAGTTCGTGATATCAACCTCTCGCTGTGGCGTCAGCCGGAGCTCGTCAAGTTTGACCGGAGCGTCTTCATGAACCAGGGCGAATGGGAGCTGCTCTACGTCCTCAGCCACTTCCAGGAGTTCAGTGTCAAGAGCAGTGACAGCTATGCTGAGATGAAGTTCTACGTAAGAGCTTTGGGCACGGTGTTTCTCGGGGATGKGGCTCGAGGGAAAGGTCTTGCCCCATCCCTGTCCCTGCTCCGTGCTGCAGTTCCTGCCTGCCCTTCCTCTGGATCTCTTTAGTGCCTCCCCTCATCCTCCCCTGCCTTGGAAAGGGCCACACCAGCTGAAGGCCTGGCTCCAACCCTTCACTGAACCTTTTCTGTCTCTCTGTACTGCAGCTAGTCATCCGGAGACGCCCCCTCTTCTACACGGTCAGCCTGCTGCTCCCCAGCATCTTCCTGATGATTATGGACATTGTGGGCTTCTACCTGCCTCCCCACAGCGGTGAGAGGGTCTCCTTCAAGATCACTCTCCTGCTGGGCTACTCGGTTTTCCTCATTATTGTATCCGACACGTTGCCAGCCACTGCYGTGGGCACGCCCTTGATAGGTACGGTGGCACCACCACCCGTGCAGCTGCCCTGGCACCCCTGGGCAGGGACCACAGGGCCTGAGAGATGAGCAGGGGGCCAGTTTGGGCCAGTGCTCTGTGCAAAGCCTTTGTAGGTCACTCAGCTCCCTGATGTGTCTGCAGGCATCTACTTTGTGGTGTGCATGGCACTGCTGGTCATCAGCCTGACCGAGACCATCCTGATCGTGCGCCTGGTGCACAAACAAGACCTGCAGCCCCACGTCCCCGAGTGGCTGAGGCACCTGCTGCTGGAACGAGCTGCCACCCTGCTCTGTGTCCGGGACAGGGAGAAATTCAGCCAAAGCAGGAGGCAAAGCTTGGACATCTCCAGGCAGTTGGAGAATAATGACAGCACAGGTGAGGGTTGCACATGAAGGGCCTGTGGGAAMTGAAGGARTCATCTTCATCTACATAACCACTGWTKGTGGGGTGAGCTGGGTGCCTAGTTCACCCTCAGAMATCCCACTTTCCCATCTAAATAAGTTTTTCCCATTTGTTTCTCTTGATGCCTCAGCCAAGCTGACCCCTTATGGCTGTGAGGAGCCCCGGGAGTGCGGGGCAATGGAGGGCACGAGGTCTGCGATGGCCTTTGCTGGCCGGACAGAGGGCTCAGCAGCACTGCAGGATGTTCTGCGGGAGACCACGGCCATCCGCCAGCTCCTGGAGAAACGGGAGGAATTCCGCGATGTCGCCCGCGAGTGGCTGCAAGTGGGCTACGTGTTGGATGTCCTGCTGTTCCGGCTGTACCTGGCGGCCGTGCTGGCCTACAGTGTCACCCTGGGCACGCTTTGGTCGGTGTGGCGCGATGCCTGAGCSGTGCCCGTGGTTCAGGGTGGGCACGGGGACCTCAGCCCGGGCTCTCCCCGGCTCTGGGACTCACCGTCCACCCGGGCGGGCTCATCCCTCGTGTCCTCAGCCCTGCAGCGGGAAAACAGAGCTGAGCAGGAGCCCCCAGGACCCCCCGACCCTGCCCAAACCTCTCTCCACGCTTCCCCCGCCATCCCCGGAGCGCCCTCGGCCCGGCGGCGGCAGCGCCTTCAGCACCGCGGACAGCACCCCCGGGCCGGCTGCGAGGAGGGAGAGGAGGAGGATGAGGAGGGGATGAGGAGGGGGGAGGGGGCTGTCCCGGGAGGAGGGGGCTGTCCCCGGGGGGAGAGTGCTGTCCCCTGTCTCGGACCGGGCTGTCCCCCTGCCCCGGAGATCCCCACTGCCCCAGGGGTCCCGCTGCCATCGGCTCCCCTACCCCTCACCCCCGCTGCTGCCTTTATTCCCTCCTTCGGCCCAGCCATCCCCACCGTGCTTGTGCTCAGCAGTTCCAGCAATCTGACAGAGACCCAGTGCCAGGCAGTGGCCAAACCAGGGTGCCACGGGGGCTGATCCTGTGAGCACACTGTCCTGGAGAGATGCTCGGGGGCAGTGGCCAAACCAGGATGCCACAGGGGCTGATCCTGTGAGCACACTGTCCTGGAGAGATGCTCGGGGGCAGTGGCCAAACCAGGGTGCCACGGGGGCTGATCCTGTGAGCACACTGTCCTGGAGAGATGCTCGGGGGCAGCGCTGCCATCACAGCTGCGGTAGTGCCCAGCTCCCGCTGCCAATCCGCCCCTGCCAGGGGAGAGGCACAAAGAGAAAGGATTAAGTGCCGCAGATGGTGCAAGGGCCCGTCCCCTTCCCGGGGAGCAGCTCTACATACACTGGGCCTGCAGGTGATGGGGGCGGGTGTGTCCACAGCACCTCGCTCTCATACATCCACCCTCACACCTCCAGCCCCTGGCAAGACTCCTGCTCACCATCCCAGAGCCATCATCTGCAGGAAAACTTCCCTCTGAGTGACGGGGCTGAGGATGGGTGGAGCGGGCTCCTGCCAGCGCCGCCCGCACTAATGCGCTGATGGTCTGTAAGTGGCTGCCTATTGATGAGGTGTCCAGTTAAAGAGTTCGTGAGACACTAAATCAGCCCATTGATCCCACCGAGATCGATGGTGCTACAGACCTGATCAGTGCAGTGGGCAATTAACACTCTCTGGAATGAGCTGCCTTCGTGTAACATCAAACGCTCCAACAGACAAATCCAATGTGCCCATTGACCCGGCTGTGCGATGCCACCCAGCCCCTGTGTTTGATGAGGGGACTGGGCAGCAGGACTCTTGAGCCAGCCTTGCCATCCCTCTCCTGCCCACAGTGACCCCGATGTCCCCCGGGTCGCACTGCAATGCTCWCCTGTGCTGTGTATCTGATGGAATGTTCTGGTCCTTGTCCTTGTCCTCCCTGTGCCAGAAGCCACCATGCACCCAACCTGTCCCCCTCAAGCAGCTCGGCAGTCCTTCACCCTGCAAGGACAGGCTGCCCATGCTGGAGGAAAGATTGATTCTCCCTTTGCCCTCTTGCTACTTTGGGAAGTGCTGCATGTGGGAAAAAGTTCCAGGGATCTCTCTGAGAGGAATCTGGATTTTCCTCTTAAAAAAAAAAAAAAAATCAATAAATCTGAATCTAATCTCCTAATAAAGGTTTAATGAGGACATAATGTTGATGGAACAGAACATTGTTGCAGCATAATCGCTCCCAGCTGCTGTGCGTGARCACAAAGGCCTGGTCCTACTGCGATTTCCCCGTTATTCCAGCAAWGCCTTTGTGCCAGGCTGAGTGCCAGCCCGGGGCTCTGCACCCCCTTCTCCAGGGCACTGCAGCCTGCACGGTGCCCACAGCAGGACCACCTCTGCCGGCCTGACCCGGACCCAAATTCCCCAGCACTTACCCCAAACCTTCCTGAAGGGCTGTGTTGGGGGGATACTGGGGGAGGCAGAGTCACCATCGGGACCTTGGGAGGGACATGCAGCCCCCAAACCTGCTGGGAAGGGCTGGGCCAGGGCATGACCTGGCCTTGACACTGGCAAATGCCATCCACCCCCGGGAAAAACTGAATGATGCTCTGAAATTGGTGACTCTGGCTGTGCTATAACAAATGTTCAATGGCATCACGAGGCCCAGGCCGGCAGCGGGTGGCACTGACCGGGCACTGGCACAGCCGGGAGAGGCTGGCAGCACTCACTGGGCACTGGGCACGGCCGAGTGAGGGTGGAAGCACTGACCGGGCACTGGCACGGCTGGGTGAGGCTGGCACCACTCACCGGGCACCGGCAGAGCTGGGTGAGGATGGATGGGGGCTGCAGCACCCACCTGGCCCCGCACGGAATGCGGTGCTGTGCGTTTGCCACGGCACAAAAGGAGAGCAGGCGCTGCTGTTAATGTAGTCAGTAAATAAATAAAGGAGGGCTTAAGCTTAGTGTACAGCAATCAGTCGGGAACTGGAGKATAATTAACGCGGCGGGGGGCCGGACGGCTCTGCAGGCAGGTTTAAATGAACGAGTTCACTTTCATTGAGGCAAACTTGCTCCGCTCCCTGGTGAGCCACACGGGCAGGCGGCGGCACAGGCTGGGGACGCTCCCTGTCCATGGGGACAGTGACATTCTGGGGACACCTCCTGCCCCCCAGGGCTGCTTAAGGGACAGCACCTCCCCAATCCCCCCTGGAACACCCCCAAACACCCCACACAACCCCACGGCTCACCCCAAACTGGTGGGATGCATCCTTCCTCCTCCTCCTCCTCCTCTCAGCAGGCACAGGAACGGGAGACAGCAGGCTGAGACAACGGAATTAACTTTATTGGTTGTTTTTTCGTTTTCTAACTGCAGATTCAAGGTATACAACTGAACATTGCTATTTTCCTTATGAGACTTATAAATAAAAATACAAAAAATGTTCACTACAAAAAAATCTACCGTTAGTAGGATGTAAAAAATATTCTCTTTGCTATAGAAGGCACGAACTTCACTTAGTGACACATGGAGAGAAAAAAACCTGCAGCAGTATATTCTTTTTTTTTTTTGTCTTTTTTTTTTCCTCTGTCAGAAACACTGAAGTCTTACAAAGAAATGCATCTGAATCTACACAGAACGAAGGCAGATGCGGAGAGCTGCAACTAGGAGACACCACAACTGGGCTTTTTTTTTTTTTTTTTCTTTTTCTTTATTTTTCAGGAAACCTTTAGCTAACGGCATCTGTGGCTAGAGGACAGAGAGGACTCGCAAGCAGAACCGCAGGGGAGAGAACGGCGAGGGGAGACAGGAAAATCGTACAAAAAATAGGAGCCGATAGATACTCTGAGAAAACCGAAAGGGAACTTGGGCACCTTCTGCGCCCGGGCTCAGAGAGGTGCTGAGGTAGACGGAACGAGGACAGCGACGGACCCGAACCACGAGCAGCAACACAGAGCAACGGGACGGGCTCACAACACTGACACAAGCCAGGGGACAGGGCCAGGCCCCGCGGGCGGCGCTCGGTCCTCACTGCTATCATACACATATATATACTTACAAATATATATATGGAGGGTGGCGGGGGCTGCGCCACGGCAAACAGTGCGGGGACAGCGCCCGGGACACGGCAGCAGCACTGCAACGCTGACCCGACAGTCGCAGCGGGGGCTGTGTCTCTGAGGGACAGGGACGGTGCGATGGGAGGGGAGGTTCAGGAAAAAAAAACCAAAAACAAGCCACATGAACTCGGCCACGTGCTCCATGGCACCGCAGCACCTGCATCTGTCCGTGCCAGGACACCACGGGGACCTGCCACACGCATGCCAGAAATTGCAGCAACTTYCTGTGTGAAAGAACACTGTTCTCTTTTTTAAATACTTTTTCTCTTTTTTTTTTTCTTAGGCACAACAATGAAATGAGCCGTTCTCCACAGTCACATCCCRGATTGTACAGCAGCAGTGTCCCAGAGGCACACGCACGTGCAAAGCCGGACTGGGGCACGAGGGAGGATGCTGCTCCCACAGCCAAATCCCTGCTTGGCACCAGGAGAGGTGGGATGGGCACCCCAAACCCACAGGGGCCATCAGTGCCCTCCAAACAACATCCAGACACTGTCCCTCTCCCSTCGGCTCCTTTTCCCCCCTTTTCACCCAAACGCAGCAAAACGACAAAAAAAGAGCCGCGGGATGGAACCACCAAACCCGCAGCTGCGCAGGAGAAACACAACAAAAACAAACACAAGAGGTAGCTTCAGAACCAACACCCCCAGCCCCGTAAGGCCAGGCAAAAAATACCAGTTTTGGTAAGGATAATGCACAACAGGAGGCTGGCAGGGACACTGTCACCCCCCTGCCTCTCCATCATCAATGCTGGGAACACGGCTGGTGCACCCCAGCCATGCTGCCCCCTGTCCCTCCCAAATCAATAAAAGCTCATGAGGTCACAAAAAACCGAGGTAATTTCAAGTAAAATGTGCTAAATGTGGAAATATTCCAACAGAAAGTTCAAAAAAACCCAAACAAAAAGCAAAAAAGCGGCGAGCGAAGCCACCTGCCACYGGGCACCTCTTGCTGTGGGCTCCTGTAGGCTTTTGGGCTGAGGGCTGGGCAAAAAAACCCACAGGTGGCACCCTCTAGGTGCTTCAAAYCAGCAGAAGAAAAGAGGATCTCTCCATTCGGAGCGATACCACACACTATAGCCCCAACACTGGCACTGACTGCACATCACCAAACAACTGCATCTCCCCGTGGGGGGCTTTGCCCTTGTCCTGGGAGGGCAGGGAAGGAGGAAGAAATGCATAGAGAGGTCTTTGGTCATGGGGACAGCAGCAGCCTCCTGTGCCCCTYGAGCTCACCCGACAGCAGGCAGCACCTCAAGGCAGCCGGGCTCCAGCCCCAAACACCCTCCTCTGGCCAGGATCCCCCCAAAACACTTCCCAAAACACTCGTGGCTCACAGGGCTCCTTGCTCTCCCACTGCAATGCCTCCACCTGGGAACCTGCCAAAAAGGGGCCCAAGAGCACAGGAACTCGGGTCCTCTGCAGGGCACCCACAGCAGGGTCTGTAAAGCAACAGAGACACCAGGAACGAGAGCTTTCCCGAGCACTGCTGTAGGAACACTCTGGGGGAAGCGCTCGTTCCTACAGGATCTTCCCAGCAGCACCAGTGGCCAATGCAAGGGTAACAGMGGGGCTGGCCGGGGTGCAGAGGGTGAAATGTGCCCTGCAGCGAGGGTGAGAGGGCAGCAGAGCATGAGCAGCTGGGGCAGCAGTGTGGATGGAGCTGGGGCAGCAGGGTGGATGGAGCTGGGAAGGGGCCAGGGCGTCCCTCGCTGCCGCAGGAGCTGCAGGACTCTTCGGCGAGAAGAAATGAATGAGAACCGAAAACAAACAAGGCCATAGATGCTGCGTGTGTGGTGGGATTTTTTTTGCCCAGTCATCTGCCACCTGGSCCTGCTGCCCCTGGGCCTCCTCCCTTAGACGTAGCAGAGGTAGAGATAGGTCTTCTCTATCCGCCAGTCGGTGGGGATCTCCTCTGGCTTGTGGCCCTTCATGTGCTTCTGCATGGCCGAGAGGCTGGGGCAGTACTCCAGGCAGATGGTGCACTGGTACGGGGAAGCGCCGTTGTGGGTCCGAAGGTGTTTGATCATGGCCGAGTAGTCCCGGGAGCGCTGGTGGCACAGCTTGCACTCGAAGGGCTTCTCGCCTGTGGAGACAGGGACACAGGG